CGGGGTTTGTTGCACGTATTAGCTCTAGAATTACTACGGTTATCCGAGTAGTAGGTACCATCAAACAAACTATAACTGATTTAATGAGCCATTCGCAGTTTCACAGTCTAAATTAGTTCATACTTACACATGCATGGCTTAATCTTTGAGACAAGCATATGACTACTGGCAGGATCAACCAGGTAACATTCCTAAATGATGCCCCGAGCACGAGCGACGAAAGAACACTCAATGCAACAAAGCAGTCATGCGTAGGACTAGCGTGCCACATTGGCACACGGGGAAAGAAGAAGATGAATTCCAATGCCCCGTGCTTATACCAAATCCAAGAGCCATGCACAACTACTCGTATGCCCAGATCGCAACCAAGGGTTGCACCGAGCACAAGTAGGCGTTTGGCGTCCATCCCACGCACACCCTCGCATACAAACGAGGACGAGCACAGGACGGAAATCGAGAGTTAACATGCAAAATGCCACCCGCAGCGGTATTCGACACCAGAAACCATGGAAAATCGGCCCCAGCAGCACCGAGGCAATCGACACTGAGAAGGCAAGGCGGCAAGACGTCATTGCTACGGCAATGATCCATCTTAACCACCAATGCCGGAGACAACTCACGCACCGTCTTGCATCGCAAACATCAAGTGCAACACAACTTACACCAACAGACAACACGGTTGGAATCGCTCCAAGCATATAGTCCACCACCGCAAGTTGAACGCCATGACACTCGCATCAATAAGTGCGAAAGGGAAAAGACCGAAATAAACCCACTAGTCGCATCGCCAACGAGAGGAGACCGAAACCACATAGAGTAAAGCAACTACTCGAGCCACGCCGTTGCAACCGACCGAAACCGACTAGTGCATACGGCGACCATGCTGAAACCCGGGCAGCGAAAGACCAACGCCGTGGACCGGAGAACCACGACCGAAAACCGAAACCCACATAGAGCAGTACAACTGCTCGTGCCACGCCATTGCAACCGACCGAAACCGACTAGTGCAAATGGCGACCTTACCGAAACCCAAGCAACGGAGAGACCAACGCCGTGGACCGGAGAGCCACGCAAAGAAACCGAAACCCACATCGAGTAGTGCAACTACTCATGCCGCGCCATTGCAACCGACCGAAACCGACTAGTGCAAAAGGCGACCATACCGAAACCCAAGCAACGGAAGGGACCAACGCCGTGGACCGGAGAACCACGACCGAAAACCGAAACCCACATAGAGCAGTACAACTGCTCGTGCCACGCCATTGCAACCGACCGAAACCGACTAGTGCAAATGGCGACCTTACCGAAACCCAAGCAACGGAGAGACCAACGCCGTGGACCGGAGAGCCACGCAAAGAAACCGAAACCCACATCGAGTAGTGCAACTACTCATGCCGCGCCATTGCAACCAACCGAAACCGACTAGTGCAAGAGGCGACCATACCGAAACCCAAGCAGCGGAAAGACCAACGCCGTGGACCGGAGAACCACAGCCGAAAACCGAAACCCACATCGAGCAGTACAACTACTCATGCCACGCCATTGCAACCGGCCGAAACCGACTAGTTCAAACGGCGACCTTACCGAAACCCAAGCGACGGAGAGACCAACGCCGTGGACCGGAGGGCCACGCAAGGAAACCGAAACCCACATTGAGTAGCGCTACTACTCATGCCACGCCATTGCAAACAACCGAAACCGGCTAGCGCAAACGGCGACCATGCCGAAACCCATGCAGCAGAAAGACCAACGCCGTGGACCGGAGAACCACGGCCGAAAACCGAAACCCACATTGAGTAGTGCCCTATGCCGCGGGGCAACTACTCGTGCCCACCCAACCTGGAAACCGCGGCATTCCAACCAACCGAACCGAAGGAGAGGATAACCAACCCACCGAAACCCACGCGGCGAAAATATCCAACTCCGTGGCATGGGAACCCACGCGGAACCCACGCTGAGAAGCGCCCCATGCCGCGGCGCAACTCTGCCCGTGCCCACCCGTCGAGGAGCACTCCCCCCCTATAGTAGATAAAAAAACATATACACTGAATCTCGGAGTAGCGACATTTTGGCCCGAAAAGGTATAAATTTTTATTTCAATTTCTTTTTCCTTTATTTTTTGCTGAAAAATGCCTAATTGTACACAAAACATTGAAAAATCAATATGTAAATGAGGATTAAACTTAAACTTAATTAAAAAAGTAATAAAATTAATTAATTAATATTTAATTAATTATAAATCTTAAATTTAATTAAAAAATCAATTAATTAATATTTAATTAATGATTAAACATAAACTTAATTAAAAAATTAATGAATTTAATATATTAATATTTACTTAATTACTAAACTTAATTTCAATGTAAAAAATTAATATATTTAATTATTAAACTTAACTCTAATTAAAAAATTAATGCTTATTAATTATTAAACCTCATTTTAAAGGCATGATACTTCAATAAAAAATCATAAAATCATATTAACACACATATGATAGTGA